ATTTATCCAATTTCACAAACATGCTAAATGTATACTTTATAATATTATTTCCCCAGTTGAATGATATTTTCTAGTTATAAAGAACAATATATATGTATGTATATATGCAAATATGTGTATATATACATATATATATATATATATATATATATATATATATATGTATATATATATATATATATATATATATATATATATATATACATATATATATATATATGTATATACACACATTTATATATATATACATACATATATATATATATATATAGAGAGAGAGAGATAAATAGATAAAGCACACATACACACATATATATATATATATATATATATATATATATATATAGACAGAGAGAGAGAGATAAATAGTTAGTTATATATATATATATATATATATATATATATATATATATATATATATATATGATAAGATAAAATCAAATAGAAAACGTTTCTTTGTTCTTTATTTTATTACCCAAACTTAAAACCTTAAGGGTCTATTTGTTTATATTTTATTTCCCCAGGAAATTGATATTTTCTTGGTTCTTCAGATCGCATTTCCAAGCATAAAAATGGTTTAAAAATTTACATATTAATATTTATATTTCAAGGTTTACCTCTATAATTATTTGTATTTGTCTCGTTAAAATTATCAGATTTGAAGGTGATTATAATACAACCCCAAAAGATTACACCACTCACTCTCACTTTTAAATTATGTTGGTTGACTATTTCCGAGAAAGATTTAACAACGAGCACATGCAGCAAGTCTTCTCATTGTAGCTTTACATTTACCACTAAGACTTACTCCTAAGAAATCAGTTTTCATGATGTTTTTCGCCTTTCTTACGCTTTTCTCTTTGTAAAGTTTAATTAACGTGGGAGCTTCAGTTTAGCTGCTGTTCATAATATTTTCTGCTTATATTGTCTATTTGCTTTTGCAACAGCAGCAGATTCAGGACGTAGGCGATCATAGCACTCCACCTCCCTCTATCCCTTGCAGCTCTCAGCAAGTTCCTATCCTCTGCCATTGCCCCAAGACCACTTTCTGTCATCCAGAACGTTCTGTCATTGCTTAAGTCCGCTACGTATGTCATGCGTTTTTTTCCCTTTAACTCATTCCCTCTATTCAAACCGTAAGTATCACATCCTACAGGCCTCCTTTTTCATTATGTGTCCCAGGAACATCAGCTGCCTCTTCCTGATAAAAACCTCCTCCTTGTTTGCATCGTTTCTAAAGACTCATCATTGGTTACGCGCTCAGTCCATGACATCCTTAGCTTCCTTCTGTAGAACCATATCTCTGTTGCCTCGAGTCTCTTCTTCATCTTTGAGGAAATCGTCCAATATTTGCAGCCGTAAAGAAGGACAGATGTCACGTAAAAGCTTAGTATTTTTTTGCATTGTTACCAAAGAAATTCTCCCTTTTTTCTTGTCTGAAGATAAATCTTTGTTACCTCCCATTTATATCAGAAATATCAATAACTAGGCAATCATAGCTATTTATTAACGATATGTTGACCAAAATAACGCATTTTTCTCCATACTGTCTTTCCATAATATATATATATATATATATATATATATATATATAAGACAGCATGGAGAAAAATGCGTTGTTTTGCTCAACAAATGTTGACTTCAATGTTCAATCGGTGATTTTATTAATCTAGTAAAAATTTGTTTATATCGCTTAATAGATTTGTTTGGGTTTGGGAAGATAATTAAAGCTATTTATTCAAATCTGGGGTTGATTGTTGTAGTTTAGTCTAACTATTATTTTGGCGGGAGCAGTTTTATTTTGTTTATTACTTTATGTATTTATTTGGATTGATTATCTTTATTTGTTTTTTTAACGGTTAATTTGACGAGATCGGTTTGTTTATTTATTTATTTGGATGAATTTAGATTAATTTATTATACTGTATATATTTATTTACTCCTTTCGGTTTTCGATTTTTAAGTAACGTAGTATTTTTATAGCCGAGAAAAATAACAGCATTCGTGGCCTGATATATATATATATATATATATATATATATATATATATATATATATATATATATATATATATATTAGAATAAACACAATTTCTGAGATGAGATATTATGTACAATAATTACATTATTCGGACTATTGTCCTCATCTTTGTCCTTGAATTTATTACAACGTTTCGGCCGTTGTAGGCTCCGGCCTTCTTCAGGTGGTTGGAATGTCGAAATGAAACTTTTATTTCGCTCACTGGGGTAGACTGTTCTAGATCCACGTGCCAGAAATTCATACACAGTTGTCCTCAAGGACACATGGCCCAGTGGAGAAAGGCGTTAGTTAGATCCAGTGACAGGACCCAAAAGGGTGTGAGTTCAATACCTAGTTAAGGGAGTGGAGAACTTGGAGAGGGGAATTAACAGGAGATAACTAATAACTGACATCCATTAAGCATGGCACGTAGAACTAGATCATTCTACCCCGGTGAGCGAAATAAAGGCTTCGGTTCGACATTCCAATCACCTGAAGAAGGCCGGAGCGTACAAAGGGCGAAACTTTGTAATAAATATGGCGACAAAGAAGAGGACAATAGTCCGAAAAATTTAAATAATGTACATAATTCCTCATCTCAGAAATATAGACAGTCATTATTACTGCTATATATATATATATATATATATATATATCGTCGAGTTATCACATTACTAAATTCAAACAAAATTCTCACTTGAATCACTGAAACAAGAACTCTAGTCCTACGGTATCGCACATTCTAAAATAATATAACTGTCAATAAATAGCATATTTTTAAAGCATCTTTCGGTCTACAATACATTTATTTCGTCTTGGTGTTTATCTGCAAATGGAAATTTTACGCACTGAAGATGACAATTTGAATTTGTCGAAAGTACACGGACCAGGATCATCAATTCCATCTGACAACAATTCAAATAAAAGGATCGTGTTATTCAAGGCATTGATAGTAAGTTAATAACTCATTAAGTCTTTTTAGCGAAGTGATTTCGTCACTAATCACGCTAACATTATTATTTAATTCTTTGTATAATTACTTCTTTATGATATAATATATATACTGCACTTTCTATATATATATATATATATATATATATATATATATATATATATATATATATATATATACGAAGAAATATTGTTTTAAGATTGTGCTATATGTATGGGATAAAGTGCTCAATATCAAAGATAGAGCGTATGTAATTATAAAACTGAACATTGAAGTCAACTCTTAGAGACGACAGGCTGTTTCATGCTGGACGCAATCGTCAGGCCGCATGAAACAGCCTGTCGCCTCTGAGTGTTGACTTCAATGTTCACTTTATATATAGATATATATTATATATATATAGTCGACTCTCCCGTCGAATTCGACTTATGAGAGTCAAGCAGATCAGTTCCCAGGAAACCGACAGTCCGACAACAGCACATGAGATTTGATTATAGTGGTGAACGTTTCGTGCAGGACCAGCCACACTTTTTGAAGGGCCGAATTCAGAAAACTGGTGCACTAAGTGCCACAAGGTCCCCAAACGACTCTGCGCAGGTATTGAATTCAGAGTTGTCCTTTTCCTAGACCAGTTGCCATCAAAGGCTATAGAACCTAGTCTGTCCTGCTATTTACCCATAGCTGGAGGGAGAAGAGGATTAATACCTTTCCCAAGGGTATTAGCACCTAAGTGAATGTAATGGATTCGACTGAAATTCGAACTTGGCTCTCCGATTCCTCAATCCAAGCCGCAATCCATTACTCCACCGTGCCTCCTATATATAGACAATAATGTTAGTAATAGCAAGTAAATACGTAAAATTCTGAAAATCGAATATATTTTAAGGCCAGCAGAATGTTGGTCAAGGAAATGCTCAATAGATAACTAGATTGACTATAGTTAACAAATTAATAAACTTCCAAGCGAATTATCTCTTGAACGACTCTAAAGTTTCGCGTAATAATGCTTATCAGGGTTTCATTTTTCACTTTCTTTCTTTCTTTCTTATTCCGTTTTGTTATTGTATTGTTATTTTCTTCCTTAATTCTCTGAAGGCCCCAGCCATTTTTAATCATCGGATCCACTTATCAATCACGAATCATATCTTGATTATTTTCGGAATTATAAGCGCCGTTATGAATTTTTTTTGTTCTTTTTGTCTCACCTTTTTTTAGCTGAACAATTCTTAATTTCATTGATTTCTTTATTAATTTCTTTTTTTTTATTTCGGTCTTTTTCGTTTGTCAACCTTTTTTAATTTTTGTATTTATTTTTATTCCATTTTTTACGGTCGTCCCAATTTCTAACTTTCGTCCTCTCTTTTCTATCATTTATTCATTCTTTCTTTCTTTCTTTCTTTAATGTGTCTATTACTTAGTTGAGTTCAGTCCAGCTGCAGATTACTGCTGTATTTTCTTAGACGACTATTAAATGCGGATTTGCTGTCTCGGTATTTACCAAAGATCTTCCAACAAGGCGGGATGTGGCACAATGCCGGTTATTTTAAATTGGGCGATTCCGAGCTCGTAGGCTAGGAAAAAATTTACTTGTAGACTCCTTATACACAGGGCCGGGTAGCTGTCTACTTATCCAGACGAGGTTCTGCCCTTTCGCATAGCCTCGTCTGGGTTCCTCTATGCCCGGAGGCAAAGAGGTCGACAAGCAGAGTATTAGGAAATACAGATGTTTTGCCGTCTCACCAAGTCAAACGTTCCGTTCTCACGTTTCTACACGTTCCGGTGAGTCCGTCTCGTCGCTCGAAGTAAAACACTTTCTTTCTTTCTTTCGTTATTTATTTACCAATATATCTATTTCTCCCACAATCTTTAATCATTTTCCATCTTTTTTTTCTTTACTCTTTAATTTCTTTTATTTTAGTTTGTGTGTGTGTATTTTTTAATTTTCTCTTTTCTTTCACTATTTCTTTCGTCCTTTCTTTACAACAGTTTATTACGCTTTATATTTCTTTAACAAAATTTTTTCATGATA